CTCTGAGCTTTGATGACGCGCATGGAATATTCAAATGTCGATCGTACCTAGGTAGCTACGTAGTAGCTACCTACCTATCCAACAGCGTCAGCTGCGAGGTATAACATGAGATCAGCTTGGAGTAAAAATAGATAGCCATTTCCATGGGCAATTTCGCTAGGCGCTTTGCGGATTCTTAGGTAATTGGTATTGTAGTTGCTATCGGAGGATTTACTACCTAGCATTAGTACTAGGTACTATGTGAGGTAGTGTGTCGTAGCTCTAATAAAGAGTAGAAAAAATAATGACTCCATCAAAGGATTGACCAGTAGGACAGAATGCCTAGATGAAGTAACCAAAATGTTTCATCTGAATTCGGTCTACATATCTATGACTTAACAATAACAAACATGTCGACATCTTGATATACCTAGTAGCATTCACATATACAGAAATGATCTTCGCATGTTTGCTCATTGTATAGTTGAATTAGCCCACGTGGGAATTTGAAATGCAGAAGATTTCTTGTTGGGAAGATTCCTTTGTTGCGCTAATCAACGCCTAGATCAAGCTGAATCCCAGCTTCGGATCCCCTATTCCCACTAGGGAGGGAGGGAACCCCTGTCTGCCCTGCTGGATAACTGCCCAATGATGCGATGGATTGCGTGCCGCTGCGTCCGTTCACCACGCTCCTTGCTTTTCCGGACTTATCTATGCACATGTCGTATCTTAGGTACAGCACCGCATTCATTCCCTCGCTAACGCAATCAGCAATCAGCGCAATGCCGACACCAAGATTAGGAAGATTAGGTGCTACCGAACCAATGGCAAACTAGGGATCCTATGTATTAAAATGAAGGAAGCCCTTTTCTGTCGCCTTCGCCTTCGCCTTCGCCTTTGACTTCGTCCTCGTAAGTAATGTTTGTATCTTGAGACACTGTTCCGCCATCAAGACGGTACGCATTTCCCTTCCCGTCTCGCTCTGGCGGAGCTCAACTTCTACCTACTCGGTTAGCCGTCAATACCTTCGTTTTGACAATGTATGCCAACAAGTCTTTGTTTTCCTGCAGTCAGCAGCCAGGCGAGTCCTCGATGGCCCTCCTGCTGCGCCGCTCTCGCTGGCTGCTCCTGGCTATCGCCTTTATCGTCACCACCTTTTCGCTCTTTGGCCACGTAAAGTCTCCATTTCAAAGACCCGTCCAAGAATCATATAGAGAGCCCGCGGAACAGCCAACTCACGCGGCGCCCCCACGGCCCGAAGACGAACTTTGGGAATTCGACTCGAAACGCGATAGTCTCAATTATGGCCTTTCCGATGACCAATGCAAGGTAAGCCTTATACATAAAGGAATCTAGTAGCGAATAAGGAGTCATTCGATGCTCATTTCCGTAATAGAGCGCATTTCCCGATTTATTTCAAGAACTCGACCGTGCTCGCGACTTTCTCCTCGATCAAAACAAACGAATCAAAGAATCCGATGTTCAATTAGATACCAAGGATGACTATACCGGTCTCCAGCACGGCGAATTTCACGTCATGATTTCAAATGGAGAATTGTACGTGATCAAAGAGAAGAAAGGCGAACCGGATCGCTCCCGTGGTCTAGCTGCCCTTGCCAACATGTATCGTGCCATAACCGCCGTCCCGGACCCTCGATCGCTCCCGAACGTCGAATTTATTATCGATATCGAGGACCGCGCGGTCAGAGGCGAAAAGAACCCGAAGCGTATTAGATGGGCCTGGGCGCGTCAAGAAAACAATCCCTGGTTATGGGTTATGCCCGACTTCGACGGGTGGAGCTATCCCGACGACGGCGTCGGATCGTACGCGCAGTTCCGCGAAGACGTGGAAGAGCTGGAGACCGAATATCCCAACGGATGGGACGACAAACAAGATAAGCTGTGTTGGCGAGGAAGTTTGGCCGTGAACCGTAAGCTACGGACCGCGCTTGTGGACGCCTCGAAGGGACACGACTGGAACGATATCGAGGCCATAGATTGGCATAACCGTTCCAATATTCTGGACATGCGAGATTTCTGCCGCTTCAAATACGTCGCTCACACCGAGGGCAATTCCTGGAGTGGACGGTTACGATATCTGCACAATTGTAACAGCGTTCCTATCATCCATAAGCTGGACTACGTATTCCATTATCAGCCTCTCCTGAAGGATAGCGGTCCTCACCAGGTATGCCCCCTCTTCGCTAGACCAGCCAGGAATGAAATTTTTTTGCTGACTATTCTTTCTAGAATTACGTTAAAGTGAGACGTGATTGGTCCGACTTGAAGGCTCAGATGGACGGCCTCATCGCAGATCCTGATCGAGCACGGCAAATTGCCCAAGAGTCTACCAGAGTGTTCCGAGACCGCAATCTCACGCCAGCTGCCGAAGCGTGCTATTGGCGCCGAATGATCCATAACTGGCGCGCTGTGATGGATTTCGAACCTCGACGTTACGAAACGAAGCCAGATGGTACCAAGGGCAGGAGAGGTGTTAGCTGGGAACGTTTTGCCTTTAGACAAAAGAAGAGCTTCGAACACGGATTTTGGGAACCCGATAGCAACGACGATGACGGAACCGAGTAAATAATAGCGCTTCGCGATGCGTAAAAGAGCAACACAAACTTCACGGCCCTGACGACTGAGGAAGACGCGTAGAACCCTAGCCTCGTTGCCCTCGGGGGCTAGCACGCGGTTTCTACGAGCCATTTCAGTAACCAGTCAGATGTCTAGCCACTATTGCAGTAGAACCGCGCCAACAGTCACGCAGATGCATATTCAGGTCAGCGTGTAATAAGCTGTAAAACCAGGCCTACGTTCCATATACAGATCGAATTAGACAGGCCCGATCGTCATGATGGACATAGAGTATCTATCAAAGGCATGATGTATATTAATGCACATGGGGAACAGACGCTGGATGTATGAGAAGAGAAGGGTCTGACCGCCACTAGGTGAAGATTCACCTCGAACGTCGTGGGGGCCTATAGACTCTTATAATTACATCAGCGCAGCAATTAGGATGACAAGGCTCTTTGAACAAGGCCAATGCGGCCTAAACTATAGCGCAGCCGATTCCAATAATACATTAATTCCGTCCATCTGTTAAGGGGTACATGATCTCGTCATTCCGTGAGATTGTAGATCTTCTGAATGCTATGCAGCATGGCCTCGTGATCCACCTTCAAGTCCTTGAGCAACCCATCCTCAAACCCAAACACCCATCCGTGGACTATAGGGAACTGGTTTTTAGCGTATGACTGCTGTACCGCCGCAGTCTTAATGACGTTTCGGCACTGCTCGATAACGCTAACCTCTACCAGACGGTTATAACGTTCGTTCTCGTCTTTGATCGCATCTAACTCTGCTTCGTGTAGGCGATATACATCTCGAATGTTCCTTAGCCACGGATTGAGCAGTCCCAAGTCCTTCGGCGTCATGGCGGCCTTAACACCGCCGCAGCCGTAGTGCCCGCACACCACGATGTGCTTGACTTGTAGGTGGCGAACCGCGTAATTGATGACGCTCATGACATTGAGGTCGGTATTGACGACCAGGTTGGCGATGTTACGGTGGATGAACGCCTCACCCGGTCCCAAACCAATAATCTGCTCGGCGGGAATGCGCGAGTCACTGCATCCGATCCATAGATATTCGGGGGTCTGTCCCGCGGATAGCTTGGTGAAGAAGTCGGGATCTCGCTTCCTCTGCTCCTCCGCCCAAGCACGGTTGTGCTCGAAGACACGGTCGTGCGTCTGCTGGAGATACTTCGAGATCTCTGACTGCGACATGGCGCGCCAACCGTCAAAGTTTGTGGTCGAGCTTGAATACTGTCGAAAATTAAGAATTCGCCGAGGGCTTGAATAGAAAGTCTGTCTTGCTGATGAGAAAATAGAGCAGCCCACACGTGTCCTATGAAGCATCGGGATTGTCATGTGGCGAGTCTACGAAGTCCGGAGGCGTGGATGGAAATGGATAGCAAGAATTCCCGTCGGCCGCTGTCCAGCGTAAGATTTGTTGAGTCCGTCCGAAGTCCATCGACGCCAAAGACGCCAAAAGACGTCAATGGCGGGGGATCTACGGAGGAACCCGAGCTATCTTGTGCTACATTACTTAGCCAAGTAACTAATTATTTACCTACATTCTCACACTGTATTTTTGATATGCACGAACTATGTATCTAGTTGAGTAGCTAGAGATGTATCTTCGGACCTTTATTCTTGGCCTCATTTTCATGTTGGGACTATTCGACGCGACTCATTCAACAAACATCATAAATTATGATACTAGTAAGCCGGTTAAAGACTTCGAAATGATATGCAGAACGTGGTCCAATGCTTAGGTTCGCGGGACGATAGAGAAGCTTCATCGCTGTTTGAAGATTTCCGTCATTGCTTCGAAACTATTCACTTGTACTTATTTAGTAACCAAGAATCACTAGCTTCGATAGCGTCAGTCTAGGTAGGTAGTCACCCTGAAGCTTCATCACATACCTAATAGTATCACCTTAGGTTGGCGCTATGAACTCCCCGGAAATGCTTTCTTCGACTTATCTAGTAGGTACTTTATAAGCCATCTTGGACTGTTTTCCGGGTTGGGGTAGTGCGTACGTTATCCACTTGGAGCCCTGCTGTCCTGTAAAAAAAATAGGATAGAGGTCCCATCCCTTTTCCGTTGGTAACTGAACGGATAGGATAGGCGAAGATGATTTTTGGAAATTACCTACGTTCTAGGTACTGCATGACCCTTGAAGTACATACCTGTACTTATGGTGACTGTCTGTCCTAGGTATTGCTTAGGAAGTATATACCTGAAGTACACAGTCCGAACTCTCAAGTACCTCGGGCACTCCAACTACTAGGTAGGTACTAGTATATGCAAGATAAGCGAGTATATGAGGCTTAAGCTTAACCTGGTTTGGATGGTCCCCCTCACCCCCAAAAGAAAACAAACCCCTCAACCCACCACAAAAATACTACTATCCAAACCTTGAGAGTACCGAAAACGAGAATAAAAAAATACTGCCCATCCTGGGGTCGAACCAGGGATCTTCTGATTCTTCTGTTTAATTTTATACTGGAAGTACAGTCAGACGCCTTAACCACTGGGCCAATGGGCAATTGATACGTTTGCTACCACATTGGGTTAGACGAATCTAAAACCGTGGCGGCTTTGTCCAACTGTGGACCCTTCGCTTGAATTTTCTTGGATGCACTGACCTCCATATCTCGAGGTTCCTAGCTATCTAGCATTTGAGTTGAATGAGTCTCCCAAAATCTCTTCGGCTATGACTGCTGTTTGAGAACTTTGTATACCTATACTAAAGAAGTGATTTTGCATTAAAGGGGTAAAGGGCCTATATACAGCATCGTCCGTTATATCCTTTCACTTTACGGTACTTCGAGAGTGCCCGTTTGGCGAATATCGCGGCTGCTTGAGCCGACGCTGATGTTGAAAGTTCCCGCTGGGACGACCCAGCTTTGCTTTGCCGTATCCCAGATACTAATATCTCGTCTCTTGAGTTCGAAGGCTACGTTGTCCTTGGCGCCAGCTTCCAGTGCCAACTTCTCGAATCCTCGTAGCTGCTTTGGCGGCGTCGCTGCCGACTCGGGGAAACCTACATACAATTGCGCTACTTCGGCACCCTTAACTTCACCCGTGTTGGTTATAGTTACGGTTACGGTAAGAACGGTCTCCCAAAGATCAGCAGGGCCTCCTGAGATTGTCGCCCCCGTCGCGGGACCAGACGTCGGTCGTCCATCAACAAAGATGTCCGAATAAGTAAAGTTAGTGTACGCTGTAGGTTGAGGATTAGTCAATATTATTCTAACCAGCCCAAGGATTCGAAACAACTCACATATTCCGTATCCAAACTCGTACCGAGGCTCAATACCCTCTTGATCGAATCTTCGGTAGTCGATGAATAGACCCTCCTTATAGTCATCATTACCTCTAACAACGCCTGTGCCATAGTCACTGGCTGATTTGGCGATGGTGTAAGGTAATTTCCCCGAAGGACTGACATCCCCGTAGAGAATATCTACGAGAGCATTCCCGTTCTCCTGAGAGGGAAGACCAGCCCAAACAATCGCCTTGACGTTAGGCTGAGCGAGAACCGTCTCGAGGATGACGGGGCCAACGGCATGCACGACAACGATCACGTTATCGCTCGCCGCTGCGACGGCCTTAACGAGATCATTTCCGTTGTGCCACGGATCGAGGTTGTTGCGATCCCCTGCGTTGTTCTCCACCGTGATATACCCTTCGCCGCTGTCCGACGTGATAAATACGATCGCGGCATCAGCGCCACTGACCGCGGAACCGACGGAGCTGGTGCTATCGGAAGCAGACAAGCTGATTTCGGTGCCGTCGGCCTGAGCTCGTGTCTTTATCGCATCGGCGGGAGCGCTGAAATAGGGATAAGGTGCGGTGCCTGAACCCCACCCCATGCCTAGCGCACCGGAATTACATCCTTGATCGGCGCAAGAGTTCATGCCTTGAGGATTGACGACGGCCGCCGAGCCGACCAATCCAAGCTTCGCAGGCTTTTTGAGAGGAAGAATGTTCCCTTCGTTCTTCAATAGGACGATTCCATCTCTTGCCGTAGCACGAATGTTGGTCTTGTGGGTCCCTTGGACATTGGCATTGAGATTGGTCGCGGGATAGCCGCTATCCTGACCGAGCAAATACCATGCTGCTAGGATTCTGCGGACCATGTCGTCGAGACGCGACTGCGGTACCTCTCCACTACTCACGGCCTGAGTCAGCTTAGAGCCCCAGTAAACAGATCCACCATTGAAATCCGAGCCAGGCATAGTCATATCCAATCCCGCGACCGCGGCCGGGGCAGTGGAGTGCTGCGCATTCCAGTCCGTCATCACGTAGCCCTGGAAACCCAGTTCCTTCTTGAGTATGGTATCTAGGGCATACGGACTATGAGCATACCGAATTAGCGAAATGAATCGACACGAGGCAGGAACCACGGCTAGGTAGGTAATTACTTACTTTTCACAAGTCCAAGTGCCGTTGATCTTGTTGTAAGAGCACATGACGGAAGCTACATTTGCGTGTACGGCATCAGCAAAAGGCCAAAGATAAATCTCGTGCATCGTACGGTCGTCCAAGTTCGAGCTCATCGTCTCGCGGTTGAGTTCCTGTTCGTTAAGAATATAATGTTTCGCATTGGCCTGGACCCCAACGCTCTGCATACCCTCGACCGTCTCCGCCATAGCGACGCCTTGCAGATACGGATCGGCGCCGAAGCCCTCCCAATTTCGGCCGCCCGTAGGATTTTTACCTAAGGGCCCGGCGACGGGTCCCAGAAGAACGTGAATACCTGCGCCTTTCGTCTCTTCAGCCATGAATTGTCCACGCTCTCTCATAAGAGCACGATCGAACGTCGAGGCGACATGAATACCCGGGACGAAGGCATTGGCATTCGTGGCGAAGCGAATACCTAACGGCCCATCTTGTAGACATAGCTGGGGGTAATTGATGGAACTGGCCGGCGGCGTATTTCCAACGCAGGGTCCTTTATTCCAGCCCACCCCAGTAACAATGTTAATCTTGTCATTCTGGGATAATTTTGCTAGAGAGGCATTGGCCTTCTCATAAGCTGCCGTCCAGTCAAGCGTCGCGGCCGCGGAGGCCGTTGCGAAAGCCGCAGTAAGGATCGTGAATCGCATCATTGGCGATTTAGTTCGAAATATTCCGAGTAGCAAGGGTCCTCCGCACGCTTCGACATCTCGAGATGCGTTCTCGCCAGTCTTATATGGACTGCCCGGTAAGCACGTCACGTTCAGCAATGGCACTTAGCTCCACAATGCATCTAAGTAATTTTTTACTCTAAATATGTCAGACATCATGGCGCTGCGAAGATCCCGGATGTACTAGATCTGGCAATTGACGGAGAAGTATGGAAAGGAGAGGATGGCATTTTCTTGCCGTATTTCCATGCCTAGACTAGATTGACCCTCTTGTCCCATCTTGGCTAACGATAACCCCTCGGTCTCTAGCTCTCTAAATAGTAGCAGATCTCCTTTTCCGACGAGGACGAGGATGGGATTTCCCCGAAATGCGATCACTTTTTACGTGGGAGGAGGAAAAAAAGGCTTTGGTTCCGGGCCGCATTAGCCATATATTAATTAACCTCCCGTCGCTTCCAAGGTTTGTCGCTAGTAAACCCTCAATGTAACCACACCCACCTGAGCTTTCATGCCAGGGGTAATAGCCAGGCTTTCAGACGGTTGATCTGTTCCCGAACCTACAACCAATCATCAGATCAATTTCGCGGACTGATCTTTTAGAATAGGGTTTTCTATCTAGAAATCACTTATGATGGTTGTTGCTTAGTACTGTACCTACCCATATAATACATTGATGGCATTGAGACAACTCAAGGGTTCTCAATTTATTTTCCTAACAATAACTTGATAAATGAAATTTTGGTTCATTAAAAGCCTGTTTGTCCACTCGAGAGTAGACCATGTTAAAGGCCCTTACCATTCAGGTATTTATTATGCAAAAGGTATATTTATATATAGTAACATCTTCTATCAATTTAAGGTGCACCATCTGCACGTGGATCCGAGGTGCGTGCTGTCTTTCCTAGGGCTTTGATTTTTGATACAATCTTACCTAAAAATCAAATATGAAAAATATCTATGATTCAATAACACAACCTTGAAGTACCTAGGTAGATTCCTAACACTCAAATGTAGTCGACCCTCGATATGTGTTCAGTACACCTCATCCATTGAAGCATGGAGTCTCAGGTGTATTGGACAGAGTGGATCGCATGCAAGGAGACATTCCAGTTTAAGCACTCAGCTACTGTTTATTTTTATACACTGAAATCACTAGTATGAGATAATGGGTAATATAACTAGCTAGGTAATAGGCCCTACTCATGACATATTTTCACATATCCTTAGTATGGGCAGAATTTGGAACTAGCTTGGGTGATTTTTTTTCTAAGCATTCTAATCCTACAACTTTATAATTTACATGAATTTCTGCATGTGTGGGAAGGTATTGTCTATATCTAATGATAATTGAACAGTATAGCTAAAACGAATTATGATGAATGATGCTCTGGGTGTTTTAAAAGTCTCAAAGAGTATTACTGAAGGTTATTGTTTACTGAAGTCCGATATTTAGGGCTAGGATACTTGCAGGACTACAATTGTGCACACGTTATCAATTCTCTTTGACCTTTATATTCACCTCTTTGCGCACTAGCATGTGCCTAATATACTGCTTGAAACCAAGTTACAAGATCTACCCTAATCCACTCCAATCGTCGCAAAGTATGTCATGGCTTTTGCGTTTATTTCTTTATCCATAGGCTTTCCTGCCTCCGCCATCTGGCTAAGTAGCTTGAAGTAATTGATATAGTAAGCAGGTGTGAATGTGTTGAAAAATCTGCATCCTTCTTCTAAGGTGCCCCAAGTGTGGACTGATCTGACAGGGACTGTTACGTAGTCACCCTCACTGCAATCTACAATGCCACCGTCCTTGATATAGAAACGCATCCGGCCAGACATGACCAGAAATGTCTCATCATGCTAAGAGATATTGTTAGAGTGAACCAGATTCAAGAGGTCGAATATCATACCATTTCATGCCAGTGCTTTGGAGGTCCTTCTGTGTTAGGAGGGACAATGAACTCAGCAGCGCCAAGCCGATCATCTGATAATAATTGAGGTTAGAATATCAACGCTAAGTAGACGAGGATTACATGTTGAATAACATAGTTTGGAGCTTACGAGTGTTACTGCCGTCTTCCATTACTCGAATTTCTTCAGTTGTTAGCACGGCCTTTAAAGTAGATCTATTGACAGATTACATACGAACGGTTCCCAACATGAATGTCTCACCAGCCTTGGCTCGGACAAGGTTGACTGGGATATCGGGGGGCGACATCAATTGTTTAGCTGCCATTGTGCTAGTTTGTGGGGTTGGAAATGACGGAGATAATGATGATAATGGAAGCTGCTGTGTTCCTTTGAGATTTTTCCTTTGAACAAAAGGTACGCAAGTAGAATTATGTTGGAGGGTATAAAGGTCTTATATCATTGAAATTGGGTACGATTTGGGATCACAGAGATACTTTCTACA